TCTCCCAGCTGGGGCTCCCCACCCCCCTCCTCCCCACTGCTGTGCTGGTGCCCCGGTCCTGCTCTCAGCCTGCAGTAACGCAGGCCCCATGCAGGCTGCTTGGCACCTGCCTGGCAGTGGTGCAGGAGGCTAGAGCAGCGCCCTTCATTCCGGAGTGGGCAGGGTGCTGGAAGGGCCCAGGCTGGCTGGGGGCAGGAGCCAGAGACTGGGCTGGGAGGGGGGTGGCGGTCTCCCCTTTGAGCTGGCTGAGGGGCTTTGTGAGTAGCTGGGATGCCCCGGGGCACGGTGAGGGTTTTCCTTCGGCAGGGCCTGTGGCCTGTGAGCAGCCCCCCAGCCCAGCCCCTTCCTAACCAGTCCTAGGCCTTGGGGTGGGGGTGGTCCAGGGTCTCCTGCTTCCCTCCTCTTTGTGCAGAAGCCTCAGCGCCCGCGGTGGGGTGCCTGGCCGAGCCCACGCCTACTGCCTCGGGCTGTGCAGAGCAAGCAGATGGCAGCTCCCCCCTTCCCCGGGTGCCCCTGCAGCTCCGCAGGGTGTGCGCAGGGCGGCTGAGGTTCACGGCGCTGGCCGCGCTCTCGCCCCGGCTGCCCTTGGCTGCCCGGCTGCGGCGCGCGGGGCATTAATATTTCAGGCCCGTGCTGCAGGGAGCGGCGCAGCTCCTGCTGGCGCTCTGTGCACATGAATAATTTTCTGGGAGGGGAGTGGAGCGCCGGGCCGGGCCCCGTGAGAATCAGCCAGCACGCTCCGGAGAGTGCGGGGTGCGCCAGCTTTCAGCCGTGGGGGGGGGGAGGCTTAAAGGGGCAGCGGCTCATTCCCAGCAGAGGCCTGCAGCCCTACGGGTGTCTGCCGACTGCCCCCTGCTCTGAGCTCAGCCATAGGTGCTGCTGCCCCAGGCCAGGCCTGGCAGACTGTGCTCACACATACACGTTGTGCTCCCAGAGAGAGAGACGCACCCCATACACGGGAGCGTGCACAGAGCATGGCCGTGCGTGTGCACACAGCCCCTGTGAACACACACATAGTCATGCAGATACACACCTCACACGTGTGCGCACACCCACTGTGATAGAGACACGTGTACGTGCCCCATCATGGTCCCAGGCCCCTGGTTGCTCCCCGGTGCCCCCCTCTCTGCCAGCCAAGTCTTCAGGGTTCACTTAAATCCCGTTTTCAAGGTTTAATTTGTAACTAGAAGGGCTGCAAACGGGGCCCCTGGGGCTCAGGAACCAGTGGCCCCGGGCTGGGTGTGTCTCCCTTCGTGTTAAGCAAGGCCTGGCCTGGGCAGGCCATGGATGGCAGACCTGTGTGGAAATGGCTGGGCTGGTGCGCATGGGGGTGCTCTCCCTGCCAGTGCTGACCCTGGTGCCCTAGAGCAGTGCTGGGGGGTGGCTCGGTGCTGGGGGGCAGTGCTAGGGGCGGGCAAGACGTTGCCGCCTTTT